TAGTCCTAAAATACAAAAATGCTAATTCTTCACTAACTAACAATGCCCAATTTAAAAATGTCCATTTTTTTAAAAAGTCCCTAAAATAAAAATCTTCAATTATCTATACCTAACTAACAATAATCAAATCAAATTAACTATTGAATAACACAACCCAACAAACAAAAAACAATAATATACTAACAAACAATCAATTATAATAATTAGAATTGAAAAAAAAACTAAAATTTAACCCTACCTGCAGCGACGACGACCGACAAAGGCGCTAGGCGACGGGGAAGGGCAGCACTGGGAGAGGACGAAGATGGCGACAGTGACGGGGAGGGAGATCGATATATATATATATATATATATATATATAGAGAGAGAGAGAAGGGAGAGAATTAGAGTGAAGAGAGAGAGAGAGGAAAATAGCAGACTCTAATGGACCTATTGTCCTACCCCCTCTACCTCCAGGGCACATATTTGTGGTGACTAGTAGCTTGATGCAGATGCTTACAGCAAGGGGCTTATTCTCAAGATTGCCATCGGAGGACCCACATGCTCACTTAGCCAAGCTACGCGTTGTTTGCAAAAGTTGTGTAGGTAGACCAGACTTGGATAGGGATATCATCGGATTATGAGTGTTCCATCTATCACTGACAGGTGATGTTGCAGTATGGTTCACTGAGCTTCCTTATAACTCAATCTTTACATGGAACCAATTGACGGATGTGTTCCGAGCAAGGTACTATCCAGTGTCCAAGAAGCTTAATCACAAAGATAGGGTCAATAATTTTGTAGAATTACCTAGAGAGTCTATGAGTAGCTCTTGGGACAGATTCACTGCGTTCGTAAGAGGTGTCCTAAATCACCGTATTGATGATGAGTCGCTGAAGGAATATTTCTATCAAGGTCAGGATGACAACAATAAAGCAGTGCATGATACTATTGCAGGAGGTTCATATGGAGACTGCACATATGCACAAATTTCTGAAAAACTGGAGAAGATCTCTCGCAACAAGAAAGCATGGAGCACTAGGAGGTCAGATACTGGGAGAAACATATTTGCCATTCAAAATACAAACACCCAGTCTGCGGATGAGATTCGTGAGGAAATGGCTCAGATGAGGACCCAGTTGGGGTTAGTATTGAAGCATGTGAGCGGAGGTGCAGAGAAGGTAAATGTTGTAAATTACTTGACTAGAATGCCACCACCAGTTGAAGAGTGTTACTATGAAGATGATGCTTATGTGGTGAATGATCAGACGGGGCGTTTCCGAACAAACGCCCAAGGATCCAACGCGGAAAATTGGCGCCAAGGTTGGAACTATGGCAACTACAACCGAGAAGGTCAAATATGTCCGGGATGGGAACTTCAATCGCGACAACAACTACAACAGGAACAACTATGGCAAAAATGATCGGGTTGGACCTTATGTTCCCCCTCAAAATCTGGAATATGGTACTAGGGAAACTGGAGGAAATATGGCGCGTTATGAAGATATGATGCAGAAGATGATGAGAAGGTTTGATGCAACTGATGAGAATGTGAAGGAGATGACAAATGACTTGTCTTGTATTGGTCAAAAGGTTGATGCCCATGAAGTGTCAATAAAGCACCCAGAGCAGCAGATGACCCAGTTGTCTACTACAGTGAACCCACGTCAACCTGATACTCTTCCAAGAAACACCATCCAGAATCCAAAGAATGACGATCACTATATGGCAGTTACTACTTGAGGGGGTAAGCAAACCATAGATCCACCTATGCCGTCTGTGGTAGATGTTGAGATTAGAAAAGAAGATGATGTAGTAGAGGTTAGAGAAGAGTCTGAGACTGCGACAGAGAAAGAAGCAGAGATATCTCAGAAAGTGGTCCTCATACCTAGACCTCCACCACCTTTTCCACAGAGGTTAGTGAAGAAGACTGAAGATGGTAAATATCACAGGTTTAATACTATGTTGAAGCAGCTTTCCATCAATGTTCCTTTGATTGAAGCTTTGGAGCAAAGCCTGGGTATGCAAAGTTTATGAAAGATATAGTGACAAAGAAAAGGTCTGTGAGTTTTGAAGATGATGATAGATTGCAACATTGTAGCACTATTTCTACAAGATCTCTTGTGCAGAAGAAGGAAGACCCTGGTGCTTTCACAATCACATGTACTATAGGGTTGTTACACTTTGCTAAGAAATTGTGTGATCTTGGTGCTAGCATCAACCTCGTGCCATTGTCTATTTATAAGAAGTTGGGTCTAGGGGATCCAAAGCCTACTACGATGCGGCTACTTATGGCCGATCGTACCGTGAAAAGGCCTATTGGTGTACTCCATGATGTGCTAGTAAAAGTGGAGTAGTTCATCTTTCCAGTGGATTTTGTGATTCTTGATTATGAGGTTGATTTTGATGTTCCCATCATCCTTGGGAGACCATTCCTTGCCATAGGTTGTGCATTGGTTGATACGGAGAAGGGACAAATGAAGTTCAGACCGAACAATGAAGAAGCAACTTTCAATATTTGTAGGTCCATGAAGCAGAGTGGTGAGCTCCAAACGGTATCTGCTATAACTTATAGAGTTCAGAGTGGAGTAGAAGTGCAAATTAAAGAGCGACTCGGTGTTGGGGCACTAGCAGCAGTTATGATGAATTTCAATAGTGATGGTATTGAAGAGTACAATGAGTTGGTAGCTGCAATCGAGAGGTGTGAATATCGGTCAAAACAAAAGAAATATGAGTTAGACATGAAGAATTGCGAGTCTCCACCAGCGAGACCATCTATTGTGGAGGCACCGAAATTGGAGTTTAAGGCTCTACCACTACATTTGAAGTATGTATTCTTGGGCAGAGATAACACTTTACCGGTCATCACTGCGGCATATCTAAATGCGAGACAAGTAGAGTGCTTGTTGACTATATTAAAGAGGTTCAAGCAAGCTATTGGGTGGACTATTGCGGATATTATTGGGATTCCGCCAGGTATTTGTTCCCACAAAATACAACTCATTCCAGATTACAAACCTAGTATTGAGCACCAAAGAAGATTAAATCCACCTATGCAAGAGGTAGTTAAAATGGAGATCATCAAGTGGTTGGATGCTGGAGTTATCTATCCCATTGCAGATAGTAGTTGGGTATGCCCTGTTCAATGTATGCCCAAGAAAGGTGGGATTACTGTGATTCCTAATGAAAGAAACGAGCTTGTTTCGATGTGGCCCGTGACTGGATGGAGAGTCTGCATGGATAACGGAAGCTAAAAGCTTGGACAGAAAAAGACCATTTCCCTATGCCGTTCATGGATCAGATGTTAGATAGACTTGCTGGTAAGGGTTCATATTGTTTTCTTGATGGTTATTCGGGCTACAATCAGATTTTGATAGCTCCAGAGGACCAAGAGAAGACCACATTCACTTGACCTTATGGGAATTTCGCCTTCAAAAGAATGCCCTTTGGGTTGTGCAATGTTCCAACAACCTTACAGCGCTGTATGATGTCGATATTCTCGATATGGTGGAGGACACTATTGAGGTATTTATGGATGATTTCTCTGTGGTAGGGGACTCTTTTGATCGATGTCTGAATCATTTGGCTGAGGTACTTAAAAGGTGTGAAGACTACAACCT